AACTCTCATGGTTTCTTGGGTTTGGCGAAGAGGTGCATTCGTAAAACTTGTAGTATTTTTTAGATGTATGAGTCCAAAAACTTTCACTTGTTTGACTAACACTCTTGATACGATATTTAGAGATCATCTATAAGCTTTGCAAAGAGCTTCAAATTTGACGGTTGAATCCAATGGCAAATTGTAGCATCTGCTGCTGGGCCCCAGCAAATGGGCTGGGTATTAAGCCAAGTTTGGCCAGCTAAATGCCCTTTTGATCATGTTTTGGCCTAGTGGGCTCCGTTGATTTTTAGCCCAGCTTTTGATTGGAGTTGAGTTTTGTCCAAATGAAGCCATTTTTTGAGAGATTTTTCAGCATGCGGGGAATACGGTCTTGTACGTCAAGTGTCATAATGCAAACACATATATCATAACACTTGGTGTATCAGATAGTGTTATCGGCACACTAAAAAATTTCTTTATTTTTTTAACCCTTTAGCCTTTTAGTCTTCTAACTATTAAGAAATTTGGCAAGGCGGGTGGCATGGTTCACCGACCAAATTTATTTTTAGCGTCTAAATAATAAGGTACTAAATAAAATATGGAAACTAAATCATAGGGTAACTGATCACACAAAACCTATGACTATTGTTACAAATCAACGTATTAGCCAAATTTCCAGACGTGAGTCAGCTTATAGCTGGGATGACTGCAAAGTATGTCCACCCACCAATCTCTGAACCATCAATCAAAATGCATAGCTAATTAGCAAAACTAACTCAAAACAGCTAGTTAATCACTGCATCATGATGTTTTCCTTTTGCATGTAAAGAGTTCGAACCAGTATATGATGTAAACCGACCCTTCGTTAATCTTTTACATCATAATTAACCGCATTTGTGTAAACTTTACCTGAATACTTTATGTCCACAACTTTAGGATTTGGATCAACGTAGTGGAAACAATATTTGTATTATTAACTAAAAAATTGTGTGTCCAAGTGGTGAATTGGTTTGTTAGTCAGTCTTTTTTTTAACGCACTGCGTCATGAGTTCAAACTTCCAATCCCCATCTTATTAGTGTAAAATATCCGTTCTTCTAAAAAAGAAACCCAACATTTTGTGTGTATATATATAATCCCCCTCTTCCGTTTTGTCTCAAAACAATTTTCTTAACTAAATACTACTACATTATTTTTTGAGTCGGGGCTCACTAACATTGGCTGTTGCAACGAGCTCAACACCGGCTATGCCACCGATGGCTATGCGCGCTCATGAGGCATGGGCGCGTGTGCTGTTACTTTCACTGTGGCTGGACAGAGTGTTCTAAATGCGATTGCTGGAGCCTGCAGTGATGATTTGCCTGTGATTTGTATGGTTGGAGCCTTGGAGGCCCCAACTCCAATGACTATGGAGCTCATAATAGGATTCTTCACCATACTATTGGGTTGCCTGATTTTAGCCAAGAGTTTAGGTGCTTTCAGAAAGTCACTTGTTATTAGGTAATTAGCACATATTTGAAAGTACTTTTAAAATTATTAAAAACGCTTTGACAAAAATATGTACTTGAAATATCAGCAACTTTGCTAAGAAGATTCTTTGAAAAACTAGGCATTTAAAAAAAAATGTATTTGTTTAAAATAATTCTTTATCTTTATTTTCAATAAAAAGTAAACATATGTATAGAATACATGAATTTAATGTGTATTATTGAAAAATGTGTCAAAATAACGTGTATTAAACGTACAAATATGCATTTATGGTATAATACGTGTATTATATGTTGGAGTTTAAAACAAATGTGCAATTTAACTAATAATTAAAACATGTACGAAAAACGAAAGTATTTTTAGAAAATACATACGTATGTATATAATATACGTATGATATGCGAATTTACTGACTGTCAAGTTTAAACGTGTTTTTTCAAAGAGCACTTCAGATTTTATCAAGAACTTTTATGCACTTCTACGAAAAACGTTTATAATGCCTTTTTAACTGTTTTTCAAACAACTCTTAACCATGACATAAGTTTAAACCAGAGACTGACATGATCAAATTAATAACTTAATTTAGACTTTAAAATTGAGCATATATATATATATATATATGCAAATTTCACATCTTTTCTTATTCGGAGAGGGAAACGATTTGAACTTGGGACATTTTCTTATATGTATTTTTGTACCGGAAAAAGGAAAAAAAATGTATACATCTACAAAATTGTGAACGGTCTAAATGTGTGAGAGTCTAACGCTATGCGGTTGGTGCATACAAGTTTTTCTTTCTCCTTTGCTTTTGTAAATAAAAACTTTATTTTTTTTTTGTGCAAGTACCCTTTTACCATAGTGGTAGAAAGATGTTGAGCTCTTGCACCACGAAGTGGGTTCAAACCTCGTCGTTAGCTAATTTAACATATAATCTAACAAAACTTATCGTTTGACCAAAAAAATAAAAACTTTTTTTTCTCTCCAAGGTTTGCTAATTTTGGTACGTTGGGTTTAATTGGTAGGCTGTGATAAATAATATAGAAGATGCACCTGAATTGATCAACAAGGCAATTTCAACAGCTTGGGAAGAAACGAAAGCAAGCATGTTTACATCAGCATAAGTTGCAACTTGGTTGGAATTCCTCATCTAGCTTTTATCGTGAGCCTATTCCAATTTCATTGCCTCCAAAGGTAATTTTGGCCTGCATTATATTAGCAGTTAATTAGAGCTGCGATTCTTTCTCATTTAGGACTACTTTCGTTATAAGCGATTGTGTTAGAAGTGTTTTATTATAACCATGTTGGATTTTTTATTTCTTAAAACTCCAAGTTCTTAATGAAAAATCACCTGGAAGTGCTTCTACGACCTAGAAGCACTTTTAAGTTTTTCTGCAAAACGTGGCCTGCAGCACTTTTGTTTGTCAAAAAAACATACTTTTAACCCTTATTACATTGTTTGTTTGTTCTGTGATACAGGTTGAGTAATCAAATAGCCTTAGAGGCAGCAGTGGAACCAGCAGCGGACCAGGCAGTGAACCGGTTATGATAGACGGGCTAAAACTTCGATCTGCAGATGCAGCTGATGCCTTTGTTAAGCTAGCCGATGCTTGTGGTTATGCCCTTGCTATGTTGCCTTCGGCAAAGGGAATTTTGCCGAAACACCACCCGCATTTCGTGGGGACATACTGGGTGGCCATAAACACTGCATTTTGTGTTGGGATTGTGGAGATAGCAGATGCATACGTATTTGCCGGCCCAATTTTCAATGACTACACCGCTCTAGATACTCAACCCTAATCAACCAAGAGAAGGCGATTATTGTGCAACCCGATCATGTGATCATAGGGAATGGCCCTACATTCGGTAGTGTATTGCTTAAGAATTTCCTCAAAACTCTAGTGAAGTGGCTCAAGCGCAACACAATTGCTTATGAGAACTACGTACAGCAGGATACTTGTGCCCGATGGGAAGCGTGTGAAATGTGGACCAAAAGAACATTTGGGGGGTTAATGTTATGCAACATGTACAAAACATGTTGTCAAGGAAAATAACTGTGATTGCTGAGACTGGGAACTCACGGTTGAACTGTCAAAAACTGAAATTGCCGCCGGGTTGCCAATAAGCCAGGGGAAAGTCTTGTGTTTGGTGTTTTTAGGGTTTGGTTTATGGGTTGAACTGAAAAATTTGATGATGGGTTTGCAAGTATGAGTTTCAAATGCAATATGGATCAATTGGTTGGTCTCTTGGGTATGCTCAAGCTGTTCCTACAAAGCGAGTGCTTGCTTTCATTGGTGATAGCAGCTTTCAGGTAGGTTTAATAAATTTGCTCCCTTTCCTCTAGCGCTCATTAGCATGCTCCTAAACAAACAATAAGCGGGTATATATAATACGATTAAAAACATTTCTATTGTCTGCTTAGTGTTTGTTTAGGAGCGTGCAAATAAGTGCTAGAAAGGTATTTAATCATATTATATACACTAACTTATTGTCTGTTTAGGTGCGTGCAAATAAGTGTTAGAGGAAAGGGAGCAAATTATTAAACCTACCTGAAAGCTGCCGTAAGCAATGAAAGCAACGCATTATAGGAACAGCCTGAGCATACCCAAGAGTTCCTCCAATTGACCAACCAATTAATCCATATTGCAATTGAAACTTATACCTGCAAACCCATCATCAAAATTTTCATTTCGACTCATAAACCAAACCCTAAAAACAACATCAAACACAAGACTCTTCACCTGGCTTATTGGCAATCCAGAGGAAATTTCAGTTTTTGACAGTTAAACCTGATAAAGTTTGTTTGTTTGGATGATTTTGGTTATAGTTTGAATCGGTTTCTTAGCAGAGAATGGAGAGGACATGGAGATGTGATTGACTGCTTGAGTGGATGTGTAAAATGCAGCAGCTCAGATTTCATTAAGTAAGGGAAAATGTAGTAGGGTATGGTGCATTGCCATGACCCATACTTGTGTAAAAAGGTGATTGACAAGAGGCTTAACAACCATTTTAACTTCACTACCCCAGATTGAATCCTAACCCTTCATTTGGGGTTTTAAATGATCTAATTTGGAGTGTACACTTGTCACTCACACACTCACACATTCATTTAAACAAAAAACTAGCCATTTGAGGCTTTAACCCTTTCTTCTTCTTTCCTCTTTGATGCAGACCGAAACCATGCTCGGGAGCTTCTTGCTGCCTTCGATCCTTCGACTTTAGAAGCTGTTTAGCTTCCAACACTCCCTTCTAAACTGCTTCTGGGAGTCATTCCAAGCAATCCCCTTAGGTAATTGAATCTCTCATTCGGTAATGCTTTTGTGAAAATGTCTGCAATATGATCTTCTGTGCTGCAATAGATTAATTTGATTGTGTTGTCCCGCAATGCTTCTCTGACGAAATGATATCTTCTTTTGATGTGCTTTGTTCTCTGATGAAATACTAGGTTTTTGGTCATGGCGATTGCAGAGGTGTTGTCACACAGTAATGGTGTGGCATCAACCTGCAGCTCCCCGAAGTCGTTAAGTATGAACCTTAGCTAAATAACTTGAGCTGTAGCTTCTGATGCACTCACATACTCTGCCTCGGCTGTGTACAATGTAACACTTTGTTGCTTCACCGAGGCCCATGAGAAAACCCCTGAACCAAAGGTGAAAGCATAGTTCGATGTGCTTCTTCTATCATCTTCACTGCCATCCCAGTCACTGTCACAAAATCCAATTAGGATAGTTGACTTCCCCATTTCATACTTGATGCCATAGTCAAGTGTTCCTTGCACATATCTTAGAACTCTCTTTGCTTTCCCCATGTGTATCTTGCTAGGATTCTGCATAAACCTAGAAAGTAGGTTTGCTGAGAACATTAGATCCGGCCTTGTTGCTGTTAGGTACAATAGATTGCCAACAATGCTTTTGAAGAGATTAGCATCTGCAGGTTCACCTCCATCATCCTTCTTAAGTTTCTCATTTGCAATTAGGGGTGTAGAGACTGGTTTGCAACCCTTCAAACCAAACCTTTCAAGTAAGGTTTCAGCATACTTCCTTTGATGAATGAAGATGCTATTTGCCTCTTGTATTACCCTAATGCCAAGAAAATGATGCAAGAGGCCTAGGTCAGTCATTTCATACCTCTTCATCATCTCTTCCTTGAATTCTTTAATCATTGCAGCATCATTTCCAGTGTAGACAACATCATCCATATAGATTGAGACAATGAGTGTCTTGTTGTTTTCTATCTTGGTGTAGTGTGTAGCTTCACTAGGACTTTTATGAAATCCTTTCTCAGTGAAATAAGAATCAATCTCACTGTACCAAGCTCTTGGAGCTTACTTTAGGCTGTAGAGAGCCTTCCTTAACTTGTACACCTTTTCTGGAAACTCTTGACTTGTGAACCCTTGAGGTTGTTAAACAAACACCTCGTCCTCTAGCACTCCATTTAGAAATGCAGATTTGACGTCTAATTGGTGCAACTTCCAACCTTTTTTGGCTGCTAGAGCTATCAAGGTCTTTATGGTGTCTAACCTTGCTACTAGAGCAAAGGTTTCATTGAAGTCTACACCAGGCTTCTATGAGTAGCCTTTAGCTACCAATCTTGCTTTGTTCTTCTGCACAAAACCATCTAGGTTGAGCTTGACTTTGTACACCCATTTCACACCAATCACAGGCTTGTCACTTGGTCAGTTTACAATTTCCCAAGTGTCATTCTTTTCTATCATTTCAAGCTCTTCCTTCATTGCTTTCTTCCAAACCTTGTCTTTCTCAGCTTTTTCATATGTTTCTGGTTCTACTACACAGTAGTTACATGTAGCATAGATCTCATCCAAGCTTTTCAACCTCACTGGAGTTGAATTTGGAGTTGTTATCTGTGATTGAGTTGGTTGTGGACTCATGCTTGCTTGTTGTGAAGTTTCTTGTATGTCATTATTCTTTGTGACTTCTTCTTGAATTGAGGTCTCCATAGGTTCCCTTGTTTGCCTTTTGTTGAGATCAAGTTGTAGAGAGACACTATCTTTCTCTTCTACACTTGTTTCCCAATTCCATGTTGAGTCTTCATCAAAGATAACATCTCTTGAAAGGATTATCTTCTGAGTTGATAGATTGTAAACTCTGTACCCTTTCTCACTGGTACCATAACCTACAAAAACACCCTTATTGCTTGAATTCTCCAACTTGTGTCTTAGTTGTTGAGGAATGTGGGTGTAGCACACTGAGCCAAACACTCTCAGATGCTTTACAGAAGGTTTCCTTCCATTGAACAATTCAAATAGAGTCTTCTTATCCAGTGCTTTAGTAGGGCACCTATTCAATAGGTACATTGAGGTGTTCACAGCTTCACCCCAAAATGTATAGGGCATGTTCTTCTCATGCAACTTAGACATAGCCATTTCAACTATAGTCCTATTCTTCCTTTCTGCAATATTATTCTGTTGTGGTGAATATGCCACTGTGGGTTGCTTCTCCGATCCCACATCTTCACAAAATGCATTGAACTCATGTGAGGTGTACTCACCTCCCCTATCACTTCTTCGCCTTTTGATTTGGTATCCACTTTGCAATTCCACCATTACCTTGAACTTCTTGAATATTGTGAATACCTCAGACTTAAACCTCATGAAATACACCCAACACATCTGTGAGTAGTCATCAATGAAGGTTAGGAAATACCTGTTTCCACTTACTGTTGTTGTTTGCATTGGTCTACACACATCGTGTGAATAAATTCGAGTGGCTTTGTTGCCCTCCAAGCCTTTCCAGCTTCAAATGGATCTTTGTGATGTTTTCCAAACACACACCCTTTACAGGTTTCACTGCATTGATCCATCTTTGGTATCCTTTGCACAATTTCATGCTTTTGTAGATTTTCTAGACTTGTCATGTTTAAGTGACCAAGCCTTTTATGCTATAGCTTCATAGAACCTGTCACACTTACTTTCCTTGTCACTTCCTCTAGGTACTTCAACATAAGTAGAAAGCTTATGTTTTTCACTTCCACTCTAGTCACTAGATTTGATAGGGACATGTCATCATAGATCTCGACCACAGTTCCCTCAAAGAGTAGGAAATAGCCATGCTTTATCATTTGACCCACGCTAAGTAGATTCTCATCCAATCCAGGCACTGACATCACTTCCCTTATGCATCTGCTTCCTTTCTTGGTGTTAATGACCAGAGTTCCTCTTCCGGTGGCTTTGACAAAGTTTCCATTTCCCATTTTCACTTTTCCAGTGAAGTTTGTGTCAAGGTCAATGAGTAATGACTCATGTGCAGTCATATGGTTGCTGCAACCACGGTCAATGTACCTACTTCATTGTTTTTCTCCACTTTTGCACTGAAAGCACAAAACACATTTGCTTATTTTTCCACTTGATTTGCACAGTTCACTTGTTGCACATTCTTTGATCTGCAATCCCTCATGATGTGCCCGAACTTGTTACATTTATGACATTTAGGCTTGTCCTTGAACCAACACTCCCCAAGATGAAATTTGTCACAGTGATTGCATTATTGCTTGGTTCTTGGACCTTCATTTGAGTTGCAACCTTGGTTAGGTCTAGGGTTTTGATACCCATTTCCTTCCCATTTCTTGTTCTTGCCCCTTCCACTGTGGTTTCTGTTTGCTTGCATTGGCTTGACTACTAGATCCAATAGAAAGTGATTGAAATGCTTTCTAAGTGGCAGAATCTGCATGCCTCTCGAGCCTTTGGTCAAAAGCTCTTAAGAATGCTATCACATCTTGCACACTAAGAATTTCAATGTCTATGGTTTCTTCAATAACACTCACTATTAAATCATAAGGTTTAGTCAAACCGATTAACAGTTTTTAGACAACTCTCTCATTCGGTAGTTCATCACCATGTGTTTTCATCTTATTTACAACATCAAATAGCCTAGTAAAGTAATCTTTCAACAGCTCATTTTCCCTCATTCTGGTATACTCGAAATCTCTCCTAAATGATTGAAGTTTTACCTTTCTGACTTTGGTGTCTCCTCTGTACTCTTGCTGTAAAACTTCCCAAGCTCCCTTTGCAGTTTCTTCATTTGCTATCTTCAGGAAAATGGTGTCTGAGACAGCACCTTGGATGATTCCAAGTGCTCTAGCATCCTCCATCCGGTTCTGCTTCAGTGGTTTGAGCTGTGTTTCTGTGAGGTCCTCCTTTAGAGCATCGACCTCAATCTCAGGTAGTTTATACCCGTGTTGAACCATATCCCATTATCACAGGACTTGAAAATGGTTGTCATTCTTATTCTCCAAAAATCATAGTTCTCTCCATCAAAGACTGGAGCTTTTAGCTCACCGCTACTGCTTGATCCCTTCATTTGCAGGGTTGTTTATTGGTTGTTGTTGTTGAGGACACTACGTAGGTGCTCTTAAAGATCTCAACTTGTACAGATTACGCCCAGAAAGTTGTAAGATCAGAAACTGAGCTCTGAGGCCATGATAAAGTTTGTTTGTTTGGATGATTTTGGTTATAGTTTGCATTAGTTTCTTAGCAGAGAATGGAGAGGACTTAAAGATGTGATTGACTGCTTGATTGGCTGTGTAAAATGCAGCAGCTCAGATTTCATTAAGTAAAGGAAACTGTAGAAGGGTATGGTGCATTGCCAAGACCCATACTTGTGTAAAAATGTGATTGACAAGAGGCTTAACAACCATTTTAACTTTACTACCCCAGATTGAATCCTAGCCCTTCATTTGGGTTTTAAATGATCTAATATGGAGTGTACACTTATCACTCACACATTCACACATTCATTTAAACAAAAAACTAGCCGTTTGAGGCTTTAACCATTTCTTCTTCTTTCCTCTTTGATGCAGACTGAAACCATGCTCGGGAGCTCCTTGCTGCCTTCGATCCTTCGACTTTAGAAGCTGTTTAGCTTCCAACAAAACCATGAGTCCCCAGTCTCAGCGATCACAATTGTTTTCCTCGACAACATGTTTTGTACATGTTAGAACAGAACATTAACCCCTAAAGGTTCGTTTGATCCACATTTCACAGGCTTCCCATCAGACACAAATATCCTGATGTACGTAGATCTCATAAGCAGTTGTGTTGCGCTTGAGCTGCTTCACTAGAGTTTTGAGGAAATCCTTAAGCAATACACTACCGAATGCAGGGCCATTTCCTATGATCACATGGTCGGGTTTCACAATAATCGCCTTCTCTTTGTTGATTAGAGAGGAGCGTCATTTTTCTAGTGAACAATGATGGATGCACAATTAAGGTTGAGATACATGATAAACCTTACAATGTGATAAAAAAAATGGAACTACATTGGACTTGTACATGCCATCCACAATGAGGAAGGCAAACGCTGGACAAACCAAGGTGATTATTGAGTTAATAATTTGACCAATACTAATTATGTAGGGTTGTGTTTGACAAAACATAATGGCACCCTTTTGATTTTCTTTCCCTCTTTTCTTGTAGTTTGTTGTGAAGAGGAGTTGATTGAAGCAATTGAGATTGCAAATAGTGATAAGAAGAATTGGTTGTGCTTCATTGAGGTGATTGTTCACAGGGAAGATTGTTGCAAAGAGCTGCTTCAATTCGGCTCTAGGGTTGCCGCAGCTGGTGGCCGTCCGCTCAAGACCTAAAGTAGCTTAGTTTGGTTTCTTTAACACTGTGAACATGTTTTACGTGATCAAAAAGTTTGTAATTTCATTGTCATATTTTCTTTGGAAAAATTGCACAGTCAATTCCACTCCAGCTATGCTATTATATATAAAAAGTCGCTATGAGGTGAATTTATTATATTAATAGGAAAAAAAAATACAATATGTTAAAGAAGACACAGGTTAAAAGTCAAACCCTGATTGTCAAATAAGTCATAGGTTAAGTGTAACAACCCGTCCCAATTCATTTTACGAAATTTGGAACGAGAGTATTTTGGTAAATTAATTGGTTTTGGCTAGATATTTTATTTTTGTTTTTGGTCTTGTTTGGTGTGCCCAAGGGGCCCACCCTTGATTTTGTCCCCCGGCCCAAAACACTTCACCCCTCTCTCTCTATCTCTCATTCTCTCCCTCACTTATCTCATTCTCTCTGTGCTCTTCCCCGAGCTCTCGCTTTGTCACAGCTCACTCTCTCCATCTCTCTCCCTCGCTGCATCCTTCTCCCCCGAACCCAACACACCCAACCAAGACAAACGACGACACCACCACCACCACCACCACCACCGTGATCGGCTTAGACCC